AATCTGTATGTTTCTAGGTTACCAGAGAATACCCATTTCTATTCTGCAAAATAACTGATTTGAGTTTAGTTTTATGTCTGCTTTTTGTTAGTGCTTATTAATGTTTTGCTTCATTTTTCTGCTCTATTTTCAGTTATTTTTTCAGAATTCTTACTATTAAATTTAAAAAGTTATATCACACTTCATTAAACCAAGCAAATGGAGTTTGTATGGCTTCAGATTTTTTTTTTTTTTGTTATTAATACTTGCACTGTAGTGACTACCTGTTTTTTCACTCTGTTTTGGTTAGGTTTTAGCATTTTATTTTATGCTCCCTTTCATATAAACAGAATTGGTAATATGGTCTTGTTAACAGGTACTTTAGAGTGAATGTGGCTAAATACTTAAAAATTGAATTGAAAATATGTAGAAAACTTACCTTGTTTTCAGGAAGCTATGACAGGCTTTTCATATGATGGGCCATGAATCTAGCTTCTTAATAAACATTTTTGAAATGTATTTCCCTAGATTTTCAACCTTTTAAGCAGAGCTTTGTAGCCACATGGTAGTTTAAGCTTTGGCTTTTCAATGTTATTTCTTGTTGTGATGTAGATTGATGTATTGTGTTTGCAAAATATAAGGGGTGATTTTTGTTTGTTTAGATAGCTGTTAAGATTTGTTTGTAAAATTTCATATCACATATTTGAAATGTTTTGCTTGACCTTGAAGATTGATTTGCAAGTTTAAATGACGGTTGCAGTGTGGTAAGGCTGGTTGTTGGCACCAGAAGTAGTGTTAAGCACAGCCTTTCCTCTGAAAATGTCAATCAAATTACAACTTGCACTGAAGGCTTGGTTAGCAAAACAAACTTTCTTGGCTTTTAGCTAAAATAAGTGCCTTGGAACCATTGGGTTGTTTATTTCTTTCCCTTGTGGTTTGTCTACATGATATATGTTCTTTTTATTGGTATTACCTTTATCTCAAAATATTTGTTCCCTATAACTTGTTTTGCTGCTTTGCTGCTATATATGTCTTGCATAAACCCTGGATTTTAGATGTTACAAAGAGGCAATGAAACAAAGTATAGATCAGGCTGAAGAAAGCCCTGTCCAGTTTGCTGCTTCTGTGTTTCTCTTGGTATGTTTAGCATAGCTTATTCTGCCCCTTAATTTCCTTTTGTCATCTGACTGGGGTGAGGAAGGGGAGATTTTAGTACTTAGCCTTGAGCTTCTTGCTCATTTCTAGACAGACTCTTTCTTGTTATGAGGACTGCAATGGAGCTTTTATATTAAAAAAAATATTATACAAAGATTGGATTAACTAACCCTTGAATAATTAGCCTTCAGATTCCTGATCTGTTGCCTATTTCTGTTCTGGCTAAGAAGTGACTGCAGTCGAGGGTTTATAACCTTAGCCAGGTGACCCATCTAGCAATGCTGTATTAATGCCATGCTATAGTAGTGATGTCCTGGGCTTCACGAATTTATTAGCAGTATACTTTTTACAACCTGTTTTTATTCCATTCAAATTTTAATTTATTTTGAATGAGTAAGAGAAATAGCTGCTTCCATTCAAATCAGAATTGCAGATAACTTTGAAAGAAATGCTTGTCAACTGATGTTTTCAAGTCTCTTGTCTAAAAGCTCAGTTTTAAATGTGAACTTTAACTGTTAACTCGGTAAAGTGTTTATCTAAGATATTTTTACTTTGAATGAAATCATGTCATTGGATTTGATATACTGAGGTTTGGAACTGAACCCTTTGGGTAGGTATCAATATCTTTTTTGCACTTTGAGCTAGATCCTGGAAATTAACTCTGCTTATGTTTTTCTCACTGAGTTTTTAGGAACTTCTCTGCAGACAAGGTCAGTGGGTATCACTGTCTGGAGCATTGCATATTCCTTCAACCATACAAAATATCTCCAGGACAAAGTCATGTTGGTTTTACTGTATTCACGCTCCTATTCTTCATAGTGTCTATACCTGGAAACCTGCAGCTTCTGTCCTCTGTCATGCTGGGCTGCTTTCACCCCAAAGTAAATATTCTTTGGACTGCCCACTTGTGAGTGATACCTTTCCTGCATTGGTTTGTGGCCAGGCATCTCTTGGGAGTTGCTTGGCCCCACAGAACCAATACAGAGGAGTTTCTGGCTTCTCTGTTAGACTGGCTTTCTCTGTCGCTGCCTCCAGCTATCTGCTTAAAGCAGCCACCAGGCAAAGGTTTTGCTGCCTCTACACACAGGCTACAGCTGTTAACTCACAGCCAGCCTTTCTGATGTTGCTTCTTCTGTCTGCAGCCTCGGGCTGCTACTCGGGCTGGATTGAAGGAGAATCACAGGCAAAATGCTTCTCTTTTTCACTTTCATTACTTGTATCTTAAACCTCTAAAAGCCCTTTCAGTTATTATCTTAACATCCAGGACCTGCTACTGGGTCCTGAACAAGCAGTATGTTCTTAGGAATTCCTTCTCTCCCTTCCTATCTGCCTCCTCCAAGTGCTAGATACTTACTTCCTTTTTTTATATTGAAGTTTCTACTGCTTTTGTTTGCTCTTTTAAGAGAGTCTCTCTTGTTCAAGGAAACTTGTTTAAGGGATGTCCTACTGAGAAATCTGCTTGTGTCATGATGTGATGCTTTTATTTTTACTTTTTTTTTTGTAGTCAGAGATCATGTTCATTATGATGTACCCCAAGTTAGAGTTAGACCATTGGTCTCCCTGGTTAACTTTCCTTCTCTGATAACAAGGGACAATTAAAACAATCTGAGAACAATTAAAAACAATCGATCTCTTCGGAAAAGAGAGGAAGAGATACCAAAGAAATATTGTTATATGTAGTAATAAAAAAATCATTCATCATAATAATTCTGTCAAAAAAATGATATTGAGCCTTTGGAAAGCCATTTATAAAATGAACAAATCCATAATTTAAAATCTTGATTCAAATCAAAGCATACTGCATGTCAAATGATGCAATTTCCTTTCCAAGGAGGATTGATAGTTATCCTTATACCCTGTTGCATTGTGTTATTTGAGTTACCAGTCAGAGCTGAGAGATTTAAATAATTTTTTAAAAAGGGCAGGGAAGATAACATAATTTGTTTCATGTGTTATGTGTTGAGCTTGACTTTTGGGGAGTGGGTAGCGATGGAGGCACTGGTAGCATGAAAATGAAATATTGCATCCTTGTGTAAGTTCTTTAGGTGCCAATCATATTTTTATACTAAAAAATACAAAAGAACCATTTAGCTGCTGCTTCTGCTGGGCATCACAGGTTCGAAGCCCTGAACTGCAACTTAATTTCTCCATAATGTGCATGATATCTAGCTGTTGAAGTATGTCAGGGTTCCTAATTGGTGAGTGGGAAGAAAATAAAGACATGGAGAGAAAATAAGAGAACATATACAGTGTACTTGATTTGTATTGATAAAATGTTATATATTGTTTGTATTTTCAGGTGACATTGCAAATGGATACTTGAGGCTCACAGTTGTAAGCTTAAAGGATAATAGGAAGCACTTGCCTCTTATTGGGACACTTGGCTTATCCTGGGAAACAGATGTGTTTAAAGGCAATGTAAAGGTCAGAAATATTTTTTGTTTCTGGAAAACCTTATCTCAAAACAGAATTAAGGTTGTGCATCCTAAATATGCTAATTTTTAAAATGCTTTTGTTTGTCGAAGGTCTTTAACTAGAAAAAGACCTCCATTCAGATATTGAAAAAAAGGTGTGAATTTTGAAAAAAAAAGTTTTATCCTTTCTCTCTTGGAGTCTAGATTGCATGATAAGAACCATTGTGCATATATGATGACTTTGGTGGTTTCCACTCAGCAGGGTGCTGTGACTGACCAGCTCTGCTTGGAAATGCTGGACAAAAAAACCTATAATGCAGATGTATTTTTTGTGGGTTGGTTTGTTTGGTTTGGTCTGGTAATTTTTTTTGTTCATTTGTTTGTTTGGAGTTTTTTTGCAAACAATAAGCCTTGAACCCCTGGGGAAATACTATGCAGTTCTGTGCTACTACATATATGCAGTGGAAGTTAGGAAATTCTGGAGAATGTTAAAATGCCGATGGACATAGGCAGAGTCCACATTCACACAGTCAGCATCTAGCTTGAGTCATGTGCATCGGTCAGTTGGTGTAATTCTATATATTTTAGAGGAATGCTCACTCATTCTATTGGATGAAATTCCTAAGAGCGTTATTTCGAAGAAAGTTTGAGAGCAATTCTCTAGATTTTGCAGTTGTGGTGAAGGCACATATTTTTAAATGTACTTCAGCTGCAAGAATATTTCAGAAGTTACAAAAATTCTGATAAGTGTAATGTAAACACTAATGAAAAATTATCTAGTTCAACACTTGGTTTTGATTTCGGCACTTGTTTTGAATAAAACCTAAAAAAATTAATAAAGCTGTTGTTTCTGCTGATCCTGCAATGGAATATTGTTTGATAGCATAGTTGAGGGAGACTTGTTTACCCAGGCCTGTAGCCTGTAGTGACAGAACAAGGGACAGTGTTTTTAAACTGAAAGAGCATAGATTTACATTGGACATCAGAAAGATTTTTTGTTTGTTTTTTTTTGTTTGTTTGTTTGTTTGTTTGTTTTTTTACACTGGGTGAGGCACGGGATCAGGTTACCCAGAGAAGCTGTGGATGCCCCATCCCTGTAAGAGTTCAAGGCCAGGCGGGATGGGTCTGGGAGCTATGTGGTATAGCAGAAGGTGTCCCTGCCCATAGCATTAGAGGTGGAACCAGGTAATCATTAAAGGCGTCTTCCAACCCAAACCATTGAATGGGATTAACAGCTGCTTGGCAGAAGTTTTTTTTTTCATGAGTAGCACAAAAGAATTTGGGAAGTTAATTGTCAGAGGAAACAGAGAGCTATGGCTGTAGTTTTTAGTTTTTTAATTATACTCTCTGTCCTGTGTGCTTGCAGCATAAGTTATATTGAATATTTGTTTCTAGGAAAAAATAAAGAATACCATATTTTTTTTAAACCTCTCATTTTGTGGTGAGAGATGGAACAGGTCAACAGAAAAGCTGTGGGTAGAATTCAGTGTAGATTTTAACATAAATGCCTAAAATTCTTAATACATGCGGAGGCCAAATAACAGCCACATTTGCAGGGTGTGCCACTACTTTGAATTTATTTGAATTTTGCTCAATGCTCTAAAGAAAACAAACAAAAAAAACAAATCAAAAGCTTTTTTTTTTTTCACATCTGGGTATTTTTTATAAAAAATTAATTGCTGAAGTACAGATAGTTAGAAATTGTTATGATTTAGGAGTGGTATTCTCAAATTTAGTCTTTCCACTGCAAACACTCCAAACCACACCCCACTCATCCCTCCCTGTTCTCCTCCCTCTGCCTGCAGTGGCTGGAGGGGAGAACTGGAGTCAAAAAAGCTAAACATCACGGGTTGGGATAAGAACAATTTACTAGAAACAGCAATGAGATAAGAAAACGAACACTAACAGCAACGGTACTAATAACAATAGTATACAAGATAGAGGCAAATGATTCCTGTGGAAGTGCTCACCCTGGAACCTGACCCAACTGTGCCAAGCTGCCCTGACCTGGAAGTGTGCCCTTCCTCCTCCATGGAAGTGGTGGGAGGTGATATAGAACAACCTCCGGGTCCTAGCCATTCCCCCTCCTGGCTACTACAGAGATTAACCCTGTCCTGGCTGGAACCAGGAACAGAAACACATGGGAAGAACCTAAACATCCCAACACTCCAAACCATCCTGCTTTACTTTTCAGAATTGGCCTTTTATATACGCAAGTTGTCGGACCAGAAAATAGTAATTCTTTCTTGTTTCAACTGATCTTATAGCTCATGTAAGTTTATTACATCATCATTAGGTTTGATTTGAATTCTATATTTTCAGCATAGTCTGTAGTAAAATGCTTAGGAAAATTGTATGTATCATATTGCCTTATGTTATAAGTTAGTTTAAGAATTTAGACAACTTAGTTCCAATTAAAAATTGATAAATTTATTAAGCAAGCGATAATAAGGCAAACAGCGCTGGGTGGCCTGGGGGGCCAGCGCCCCGCCAGAGACACACAAAACTTGTTTGAAAACTGGGCTTTTGTACTCTTTCGATATCAGTTGTTGAATATTCATTCATTGTCCGTTTGTTGCCTTAAAAGGTAATTCCCCTGCTTTGGAGGTGGATGTTATCTCCCCTGGGCTTGTACAGGGGGGATCTTGCATCATCCTCAGCTGCAAGTCCTGGAGGGCCTCTCTGTATCCACATGACACAGAGAAATATATTTTCATTTATAATTTGTTCCCTGTTCCCGGCCGCAAAAGATTCCCTGGTGTTAGGTCCAGACAGGACCTTTCACCTCACAGACTCCACGGTACGCCTAGAAGTTAGTAAATATACAGAAATAGTTTTTTGTTAGTACCCCCTTTTGATTTTAATTTGCTTGGAATAAAAACCGG